TCAGTAATCAGATACACAATTATAATAGTGCTGTATACAGAACATTCCAGAGGAGCAAATTCCCAAAAGACTACTCACGTAGGATTTCTGCTGGTCAAATATTGTTGAAAAAGACCAGAACTGACCATCCTTCACAACATCTTCTTTTTTTTTATTTTATTTTCCAGTTTAAATTTAGATAAGAATCAAGGTTGCTTCACAAGTCAGTTCCAGGTCCCTCTCCCATTCCCTCCCTTCCTCCCGTGCCCTCCCCCCCCGTTATCCCCTCATTTCTCCAGGGAGGGTGAGGCCCTCCATGGGGGTGTCCATAGTGTGTCATTTCATTTAGGGCAGGGCCTAGACCCTTTCCCAAGAGTTCAGGGTGAGAGTGCACCTCACATTGTTCTATTGGAGTCCAAAGTCCGTGTGTATACTTGGGATGGGTACTGATCTGCTGCCCAAGGCTCAATAGATTCCCTAGGCCTCTTCACTGACACCCAGATTCAGGGGGTCTTGATCAGTCCCATGCTGGCTTCCCAGGCTAATGCCTGGGATTCAAGAGTTAACCTTTGTCTGGTCAGCTGTTTCTGGGGGTTAAACCAGCCCAGTCTTAATCCCTTTGATCATCAGTCCTCCCTCTCTGTTACTGGCTTTCTTGAGTTCAGCTCAGTACTTAACCAAGGGAGTCTGCCTCTTCCTCGATCAGCCACTAAATAAAGTTTCTGTTTCCCAGACTCTCTGGCCATAGGATTGTAGGCTGGCACTCCCCAGATCTATGTCTAAAATCCATATATGAGAGAGTACATGCCATGTTTCTCTTTTTGTGACTGGGTTACCTCACTCAGGATGGTTTCTTCTAGTGTCATCCATTTGCCTGCGAATCTCATGATTCCATTATTTTTTTCTGCTGAATAGTACTCCATTGTGTAGATGTACCACATTTTCTCTATCCACTCTTCGGGTGAGGGACATCTAGGTTGCTTCCACGTTCTGGCAATTACAAATAAAGCTGCTATGAACATAGTGGAACAGACATCTTTGTTGTATGAATGGGCATCTTTTGGATATATGCCTAAGAGTGGAGTTGCTGGGTCTTGTGGTAGGTTTATTCCCATTTTTCTGAGGAATCTCCACACTGATTTCCAAAGTGGCTGAACCAGTTGGCACTCCCACCAGCAATGGAGGAGTGTCCCCCTTTCACCACATCCTCTCCAGCATAAATTGTCATTGGTGTTTTTGATTTTAGCCATTCTGACAGGGGTGAGATGGTATCTGAGAGTTGTTTTGATTTGCATTTCCCGGATGGCTAAGGATGTTGAGCACTTTCTCAAGTGCCTCTCAGCCATTTTAGACTCCTCTATTGAAAACTCTCTATTTAGTTCTGCAGCCCACTTTTTAATAGGGTCCTTTGGTGTTTTGGAGACTTGCTTCTTGAGTTCTTTGTAAATTTTGGAGATCAACCCTCTGTCAGATGTGGGATTAGTGAATATTTTTTCCCATTCTGTGGGCTGCCTTTTTGTCTTGCTGACTGTGTCCTTTGCCTTACAGAAGCTTCTCAGTTTCAGTAGGTCCCATTTATTAATTGTTGATCTTACTGCCTGTGCTACTGGTGTTATGTTCAGGAAGCTGTCTCCAGTACCAATTCGTTCAAGGGTACCACCCACTTTCTCTTCTAAGAGGTTCAGTGTGGCTGGATTTATGTTGAGGTCTTTGATCCATTTGGACTTAAGTTTTGTGCATGGCGATAGACATGGATCGATCTGCATTCTTCTACATGCCAGTCTCCAATTATGCCAGCACCATTTGTTGAAGATGCTTTCTTTATTCCATTGTATATTTTTAGCTTCTTTGTCAAAGATCAGATGTTCGTACGTGTGTGGGTTAATACCCGGATTTTCAATTCGATTCCATTGGTCTACCTGTCTATTTTTGTGCCAATACCAAGCTGTTTTCAGGACTATAGCTCTATAATAGAGCTTGAGGTCAGGGATGGTGATGCCTCCGGACGTTGCCTTGTTGAATAGGGTTGTTTTGGCTATCCTGGGTCTTTTGTTTTTCCATACAAAATTGATTATTGTTCTTTCAAGGTCTGTGAAGAACTGTGCTGGGATTTTAATGGGGATTGCATTGAATCTGTAGATTGCTTTTGGCAGGATTGCCATTTTTACTACATTGATCCTACCTATCCAAGAGCATGGGAGATCTTTCCATTTTCTGAGGGCTTCTTTAATTTCTTTCTTTAAAGATTCAAAGTTCTTACGATACAGGTCTTTCACTTGTTTGGTTAGTGTTACCCCAAGGTATTTTATGTTGTTTGTGGCAATTGTAAAGGGTGATGTTTCTCTGATTTCTCTTTCAGCCCTTTTATCATCTGTATATAGTAGGGCTACTGATTTTCTTGAGTTGATCTTGTAGCCTGCCACTTTGCTGAAGGTGTTAATCAGCTGTAAGAGTTCCCTGGTAGAGTTCTTTGGGTCATTGATGTAAACTATCATATCGTCTGCAAACAGTGAAAGTTTGACCTCTTCCTTCCCAATTTGTATCCCCTTGATCCCCCTTTGTTGTCGTATGGCAATAGCTAGAACTTCAAGTACCATGTTGAAAAGGTATGGAGAGAGTGGACAGCCTTGTTTTGTTCCTGATTTTAGAGGAATTGCGTTGAGTTTCTGTCCATTTAGTTTGACAACATCTTCTTTTTTTCTTTTTTCTTTTTTTTTTTTTTTTTTTTTTGGTTTTTACGAGATAGGGTTTCTCTGTATTGTTTTGGAGGCTGTCGGTCCAGCCTGGCCTCGAACTCACAGAGATCCGCCTGCCTCTGCCTCCCTAGTGCTGGGATTAAAGGCGTGCACAAACCACCGCCTGGCTTTTCACAACATCTTCTAAGCAGACTCCACCCATCCACAAATGAACCCAACAGGTGTTTTCACACATAGGCATACAGGTATGTGAAATAATACTCAATCTAGTATTATTTAAAGTAGAAAGTGAGAAATAACCTAAACAACCATTTAATGAGACTCTGGTTAAATACATGGTATATTCCCAAACAGTGGCAAACTTGTAAAAGAAAGCAAAGACTAATATGTTATGTGGAATACATTGTTGAGTGTGTAGAATGAAGTCCAGAACAGTATACAGTGTGTTATATGCTTATGTAGGCATGGCAAAGTCCTAAATGGAAATACAAAATCAGTGGCTGCCCCCCAGAGGAGGGACTGAGAATCTTAGATTGAGGAGACTTTTTTATTGAATAGTTTTGCATTGTTTGAGTTTTAAAAATGTTTATGAATTTAGTGTTTTGATAATCCTTTTGTAAATATTTATTCTGTTTTAATTGCATGTATATGTGTGTGCTTGTGCTAGGGTATCTGCAAGTACTGGCAGAGGCTCACCAATTTGACCTGATTGGCTGGCCAATGAGATTCAAGGATACATCTGTCATTCTCTCTTCCATCTCCTACTTCCCAAACCCCATATCCCATATGCCCTCTCCCCATCCCAGCAGTGGGATTATACATGTGCACTGATATACCCAGCTTTTTAAGTGGCTGGTGGGGATCCAAACCCAGGTTCTTGTGCTTGTGTGGTAGGCACTTTACCAACTAAGCCATCTCCCCAGCACTATTTTGGTAGTTAATTAAAGTGTTTAAGCCAGGCATAGTGTCATAAGCTTGTAATCTCTATGTAGGAGGTAAGGCAGAAGGATCACAAGTTTGAAGTCAGGTTGTGATGTAAAGTGTGACTCTGTCTCAAAACAAAAAGCTTAAGATGCCTCTATCATACAAGACACCTTCATTTAACCAAAAGAGCGCCCTCATTATTATCAGACTGGATAAGGGACACATCAGCTCTCCTCTCCCCCAGATTTTGGCTGCAGCCTGACCCCTACTTGTAAGTTGATGTGTGTGTGACTTACACTTGTGTTACTTAGTATACACTCATGTCTCATGCATCTTGTAGCCCTATGTCCTTTAAGGCTGTTCATCTGCTCTCCTACATATGGCCTTGAAATCCACATGGCTGCTCCTATGTACTCAGACTATGCTTCATACTCATTAATTAGTTGTATGTGTCACTGTTTTTGTGAGGGATTACTACAAGAACTCAGCAGCCAGACATACAATAGGGTGGTGGCACACACAGCACACTCTGCAGCACAGCCTTCCAAACAGCCTGAGCCTTAGAGTTTCTTCCGTTTTCAAGAGTTACACAGCCTGACAGTGTTGGCGAGATGCCTCAGTGGGTTTAAGTGCTTGCTGCATAGTCTGGGGATCTGAGTTTGATCCCCAGAACTCATGACAATGTCAAAAGAGAGAATCAATTCAGAAAAGCTGTCCTTTGACCTCCACATGCATGTTATGCAACCCCAATACACACTACTATTATTTGTTATCATTAGTGTAGAAAAAAGAAATCAATGGTAGTATATTCACCTAGATTGTTCTTACTACATCATTTTTTAAGATTTATTTTATTTTATGTGTATGAGCATTTTGCCTGCATGTATATATGTATACCATATGCATGCAGTACCTGTGGAGGTTCAAAGAGCATTGGATTATCTGCAGCAGGAATTACAGGCTGTTGTGAGCCTGTGATATGGGTGCTGGGAACTGAACCTGGGTCTTCTGGAAGAGCAGCAAGTGCTTGCTCTTAAACACTGAGCCTTCCCTCCATCATTTCTTACTGTCTCGACTCAACCCCCAATATCTGCCTCAAGACCACAGACTCTTTTTAAATATATTCCTCCCTTGGCACTTGCTTTACAACATGCTCTGTCTGTGCTTCTATCTAAGGAGAAGCCAGCCTGCTAGGCATGTTCAGGAAAGAGGGATCAGGCAAAGCACAAGCAGACCCATGGCTTGGCTGTTCTTCATGAGGCTGAATAGACCCAGGCTTCTGACTCTGTTATTTCTGTGTGAACAAGACTGACAACCAGACAGAAAGTCAGCCTCACCTCCAGCAGAATGTAAACAATGAATGAATGTATGCATGATAATCAATGACCCACACATGCTGAGTATAGAAGTTCATCGGTTTAATGGAGGCAAAGGACCAACACTGCCTCTGTGTAAGAGCAAATTTTCATGTCCAACTCCCATTATAATTGCAGAATGAGACTCTTGAAGGACAAGACTCCAATCCGGGTGTGGTGGTATGTGCCTTTAATTCCAGCAGAGGCATGAAAAAAATAACTAAACTCTGAGTTGAGCCCCTTGTTGGAGCTTCTGAGTAAGTTCTCTCTTAGTTCATCCAGCCCCTCAGACCTACTCCCCTGGCATTGCTGAAGGAGCTAGCCTGAAGATGGATAGCATGGTGTGTGGTACCCAACTGCCTCATCTTAAGCAGTCAATTATTTGAGACCCCCCTTCAGGGTATATCATGGGGAGCGCTTCTCAGAACTCTGAACTTGGATACATATGGTCCGAGACCTCCCTCTGGAAGTATCACAGAGAACACTCTTCAGAACTCTGAATTTCTAGTGATGGGAATTTGTAAACCAACCAGCACACTGTGGGCAACACTGATCTTAACCACCTGTTATCAGGATGGTATGTGCTGGGTGATTCTTCTGTCCAGAGACCTGCTTGAATTGCACCGTCTACACTCACTTCTTCCTACACTCCCTTGTGAACAACTGGCCAGAGGTAAAGATGTGGATGACCACGGGTTCCCCAAGTTTGAGTGAAGCCAAGACTCCAGCCTCCCTGGAAGAGCTGCCTGCTAGCTCACAGCCAGAGAGCACGGCCTCAAAGAGGAACTGTGCTTCCTCTTCCACAGAGCCGCCATCTCTCATTGCGGGCAGGGGAAGGGTTGAGAATGCAAGCATCTCATATCAATTGTGTCAGAGTAGGGGATAACAGCTTAGAGAACCATAATAAGGGAATCACTCTCTACCCCACATTTCTACAGCACTGTATGGATTACAACATCTCAGAGTGTGGCCAGAACAACCTCTCAACCTGTTCTTGTCTGGTCTGTAAACTTGGGAGATTTTTAACAACCTTGATCTTGCAGTGGCTGTTAAAAATTGTTTTCAGGCCACATATACTTGCCTCTATGATCCCAGAATTTGGGAAGTATAGGCAGAGAGGTCAAAAGTTTAAGGTCATCCTTGGCTACTATGTCAGATCTTGTCTATTTTTTTAAAGAAGATAAAATAAAATATAAACCATGAATAAACTTCTACATCCTCTCAGCCTAGGAGCTGTTCCAGACTCGTATGACATCATCATCTGCTGTGTTCACTTCAAAAGTCAATGATGATGTGTAACACAAGATGAGAACACTTGCAGCGGCTAGGAATAAACATCAAAGTTTTCTAACTCTCTGCGGCTCAGTCTGGCAGGGTTTCTCGCTTTGAGGTATTGCTGTCCAACCTGCAAAGAAAAGGGAGACACTTCAACCTTCACTCTGGGCTATCCTTAAAATAATCTTCTAGGGTGTGATCTATTATCCCCACATTTCAGATTAATAACAAAAACAGAATGGTATATATAGTACATTCCTTGAGGCCAGTGATTAGTATGGGTGAAGGTGGGACTTGAATCCATTCCTCCATGCAGTTCTGGTGTTTTTTTTTTTTGACTACTCCATGCTTCTTCATGGCACCCAGTTTGCCTATGCCCATACAGTCTTCTGTGCAACTCTGGACTGTCAAGTTGGCTTTATGGTTAGACTACCACTATAGAGCTAGCACTCATAGGCAACTAAACAGCCTCTTCCTTGTGACTAACAACAACATTTCTATTAGACCTGGGTGTTTTGCTTTGAGGCTAATACTTAGAGTGTTCTCTGTGCCTTAATTTCTCTGGATATAAACTGCAAGCATGGAGGTGGGTCTATACGTCAGTGGTGGTAGAGTACTTGTTTAGCATGCCTAAGGCCCTGGGTTCTATGTTAGCACTGAAAAGAACAAATGAGGGGTCTATGCCTACCTTACAGCATTCTGTGAAGATTAAATGAGGTAGTTTATGCAAGGGCACTGGAAATTTGCTTTATAGCTTAGGAAAAACCCTAATAAATATTATGTCTCTCTTCCCTCCTTCCTTGTGGACCTAATGGGCATCAGTTAGCTACCAGACTCAATATCACTATTGAACACTGTCTTCTGCAGAAGTCTGAGATCACCCACATTCTGAAATCCTTCCCAATAACTTCCTAATTTTAGGAGATGATTTGGAATCATTTATTTTCTACTCTCTGATCCTCTTTGGTATGCCCCACATACATCCATTAACATTAACACATAGCCAGGAAACAAGCTTGGAGACAGCCCTAGTTTAGAATCCAAGCCTCCAAGACTTTGAACACATGATATGACCTTGAGTTACACCTTTGATCTTCTGGGATCTCAGTGTCTTCCTGCAGGATCCTTAAAATCCCAGCAACCCTGGGGCTGTATGGATGACCTTGTTATAGGTTCATGTTCTTGGTTGAATCCTTGGAGTCCACAAACATTAAACCCACTGTGAAAGAGAGTTCCAGAATCTTACCTCTTCGTACACAGTGCAATTTGAGGATGGGTTCTGGTTCCTCTTCTTGGATCCAGACTAGAAATTGAGGGTTAAGAAGGTGTAAGTTTAACATAAGAGATGTCTTGTTCCTGACTCACATGAAAGATCCCAAAGAGAAAGCCCTCCAGCCGGGATTCACTGAGTGGTTCTTATAGGTACCCAGAGAAGTACAATACATCCTCGCCTATGATGTGTCTTCCTAAGCTAAAGTCAGAATTTAGTACCTGTACCCACACACTGGCCCCCAATCCATAACCACACAATCCTAGTGTTCACAAATATGAACTCACGTCCCTCGGGCAATCCTAATGTAAATACCACCTGAACCCATGCACCATGTCAATACACCCTCCACTAATATAAACAGCTGGGGCATATACATGTGTGTTAACCTTATCACACATCATAAACACAATGGTTTCATGAATCATTAGTTATACTTTCAGTTGTATGTAGAACTTTTTTATTATTGTGTGTATGGTGTGTGTATGGGCATGTGTGCAGTGGTGTGCATGTAGAGTTCAGAGGACAACTTTTCAGTAATCACTTCTCTCCACCCTGGGCTCTGGAGCTCAAACTCATGCCATTGGGCTTGTACAGTAGGTGCTCTTACATACCTGGCCAATCTCCTCAGCCCCAAGATTTTACAATATAATAACAAACAGTGCCATAGTACCTGTGAGCACAGTGGAATCCAAGTGGATTGGATGGCTGATTGGTTTTGAAGAAAATGAATGAAATCTGCAAACTTGCCCTAAACCCCTTTAAACCACGGCCCCTTGTTAGTGTTAATTTGCAATTATTTTACGGTTGGGATTGGAAGGAGGTGTTCAGACTTAGGTATCCCTTTCAGATAAGTTTAGAATTTAGGTGGAATGGATATGTTTAGTTTAGGATAAGTAGATTGTAACTTAATTATCACCCTCTACGTATATATGTTGTATATGTTTGAGTTTGTATCAAATTTAAATCTTCTATTTAGACTAAAAGGGAAATTGTAGGAGTGAACCCCACAAAGCTATCCCCCCAACAGGGCGGGGTCAAGGTAGAGATAAAAGGAAGTGAAAGGAAAAGGGGCTTCCCTTTTCGCCTGGAAGCCAGCCACGCTTCTAACTCCTGGTCTGTGCGACTCTCTCTCTCTCTCTCTCTCTCTCTCTCTCTCTCTCTCTCTCTCTCTCTCTCTCTCTCTCTCTCTCTCTGGTAAATAAATATATTGTTTTCCCTATATAGCTTCGAGTATCGTTATAGCCCCTAATGTGCATAGGCTCCCAGTTTTGTGGAATTCCAACTCTCCATTCTGCTGAGTTATATATAGCTTGTAGCTCTACTCTGATTCCAGCCATGAGAGGGCCATTCTTCCTATTCTCTCCCATAACTGTTAAATGGATAAGCATAAGCCCCAGGACACACAACTCTGTGTTTCCAGACATGTTGAGAGGTGAGATTGGAGCTGGCCTTGGGTGGGTCATGACGACTGCTTCAGTTCAGTAGGGCTGGCTAGAACCTTTAGTCTTTGAATATTAATATTCTGCCTTCCCATTCCATGCCTTCAGCTACAGGCACCAAGCCCCCTACCTTAGAAACCCCTCCAGTAGCTCTCACCTCAGTTGTCCTAGGAATGATCCTGGGATCCCTCAGTCCTGACTTCTGTCCCTGACCTTTATCTATCCCAAAAAGTCTCAGAAAATCCTGCAATTCACTGTTCTCTCAAAACTGTTCTTTTTTCACAGGCAGAATTGGAAAGGCATTTCTCCTTGTTAGGCTCTTAACATTTAATCATTTAACAGAAGCTACTCAGTTGCTCAGAATGGAAGGCAGTTCACTGAGGTGTTGGGAGATGTCATTCTGTAAATATGTGTCTGATTGGTTTGAATAAAGCACTGTTGGCCAATAGGGAAACAACATAGGTGGGACTAGGAGTCGAGGAGGATTCTGGGAAAGAGAGGTACAATAAGACACAATGTAGACCACTAGAGGAGTAAGAGGTCCGGACCCTTTTCTCCGGTAAGAGAAATACTTAGATTAGCAATTATGGGTTAAATACTTAAGTCAGAACTAGCCAGCAAGAAACCAAGCAAACAGCCAACAGCTTCATAATTAATATAGTGCCTTGTGTGTTATTTGGGGGCTCAGACAGCTCTACAACAGGACCCAGGCAGCGGGCAGGAAAGACTACATGTTACACTGAGGTATACACATATGCTTTGCAAATACACACCTACAAACATAGTATAGTACACACATGCAAGACACACATCTGCTCAACAAAACTCTCCAGAGGAGTAGACTTCTCACCTTCCTGGAAGTCTGGATAACTGAATAAAGTGTGCATTTTTCTTGTGATGTGGAATCAGAAGGCTAATGAGAAAAAAATAAAAAGTATTCCATAAACAAAGATCCAGTATAACCCTTTAGCTCAACTCTGATTTCTTCCGAGAAGAAGCCTGGAGTAGCTGGGGGATAGGACCTGACATTAATTAGTTCCACTGTTACTGTTAGTAACAATTATCACTATTTGTTGTGCACTTATTTTATGTTCTTTCTTTCCTAACCCTTGTGTTATTCCTATAAAAATAGGAATGTTTCTTCTGCCACAGACAAGGCTACAGATTCAGAAGAAAGAGAAGAGAAAGGGGAAGAATGAAGAAGAGGAGGGGAAGGAAGAAAGGAAGGCAGGGAAGAAAGGAAGGGAGGGAGGGAGGGAGAAGAAGGAAGAAGAAAAGAAAGAGAAGACTTATCAACGAAGTCTTATTACCTGCCAATATTAGAGAATATCTTAGTAATTCATGCATGAACTTCCATGTTGTCTGGAGTTAAAGGCATGGCAGGAAGAGGTAGTATGGAAATTGAGAAACTGTTTGGCTCAACTGTATTACTACTCAGCTATGTGGCCTTGAACACATCACTTAACCTGAGTCTTGGTTTCCCCATTTGTAAACTTCCTAAGACTGTCAAGTGAGATTTATTAAGAAAATGGCCATTATTGTTAAGTCTAAATAAGATGTTAAAGACTAGTACACATCTATTCTTTCCTTAATAGAGATAATGATTAATGGTACCATTAGAATAACCAATACAAGGACTCCAGTTCTTTGAATCAGAGGAAACTCAGAAGACAAATCCTGTAACAAAGTTCATTCTCGTACAGACAACCTGGTCTACACTTCTGCTAGAAGTGAACAAATGAAAATCACTGCCAAGACACTCTGACCATGCTGATCATTTCAAACAATACGTTAGAGCACCTGTGCCTGTCTTCTGGTCCCCGAGGAACACCAATGTCCCATTCTCCCTTCAATGGTGTGTTTTCAGTGAGGCTTGGGAAGTTCCATATACTGAAATGGGATAGATTAGAGAGGCCAGAGGGGTACCTTGTACTGGACCAGAGAGTAGATGGTACCTCCATCTCCAGAGGATTTCTGCTCCAGCATCTGCTCCTGCATGGAAGAGTGAAGGGGCATGTAATAGTCTCTGTCTAGGCTTAGATTAAACAGTGAGAAATATCACAAAGAAGGGGTTTCCAGGAGGAGGGAAACAAAGTCTCATCATCAAACATCAAAATAAGGAGAGATGGAAAGAGTGACTTGCAGTAAACCAGCAGCAAGGAACCACCCAGGAGTCAACAGCCTGACAGGTTCCTTGTCTCCTTCTTTCCCTTTCCTTTAATAACGTAAACCTCTTCACTTTGCTGACTTTTATGCCAACACAACCACTGACAGTGGGCAGAACTCTAGGCGGATTTGTGGTCTGAGCCTTTCCTTTTCCAGACATTGAAATTCAGAGGGCCCAAACATTTTAAAGATGTGACATCTTACAATCCCTCTCTAGATCCAGACTTCATGGTTAGCTTACCCTGGGCCGCAATTCAACCCCAGAGAAGTAACAATGCTGAGTGAAAGCCTGGTCTCAACAAGGTCAGAGAGCACATGGTCCTTCCTTCTTCCCCTCCCCCTAGGCCCACTCCACAGGTAATTAGAGATGGAAGCATCCCATCCTGCATGTCTCCAATAACACAGTGCCAGGTGGGGCTCTCATGGGGGGTCAGGAAGGCTACAAGAGTTCAGTAGCTGAGCTCTCCTGAAGAGGTTGAGAAGCAGAAAAACATCAGCCATGCTTAGCAGCTGGAAAGTCCACAGGGGTTTGTTGTTTTTCTCTTCTGTCCACACCCATGTGACTTGTCTCCAGAAAGTTTGAATCTGTGACCTAAAGGGAAGCCACATGAAACTTGGGATGGAGGCTTTCAAACCAAAACCCAGTGACAATGAAAAGACACCAGGCCAGGCTGAGGTCAGGCAAGGAGAAACCTCATGTTGAAAGGCGGTCACAGCCTGAGTCCCCAAGAGGCCTCTTCTGTTCTAAATAACATTTCTTCCTACTCTCCCTTATTTTACCTAGTCTAATGTCATCTTCATCTGGGGTAATGAGAAGGCTAATTTTTTTTCATAAGAATTTGGGCATCAGGTGGCTACAGGCAGATACGTGTGTCCTGAGACATAATAGCCGTGGGGAAATCGATCTTTAGTTCTCAGTCCAGTACTCCACTGCTAGAACAAGGAAGAAGACAAAGGGGACTGCCCTCAGCCAGCTAAGAAACATACCTGGGAGAAGTTCCTCTGTGACAGAAGAGAGCCCAGGTGTCTCTCTCCGCCTAGCAGTAGACATGAGGCTGGGAAGAAGGCCCTTCCCCTCCACTCCCGCCTCCCTTCCCACGGGTACCACCTGACTCATCTGCTCCTCTCCCCTAAGCCTGTCACCACGTCCTGCAGTACAGTACTGAGCACCTGCAGGCCCTCTGAAAGTTCCCTTCTCCTCTATGTTCCTAGCCAACTAGAAGATCTAGGTCCTGAAGAGAGCTGGGAAGAGAGAGGTCCTCACAGTCCAGCCTTTGGGCTTGCCTACTCTGTACCAAGCCAATCGCCTTCTCTGCTGCTTTAGCCATGTGTGGTTTCTACCCAGCTCTGAGCACAGACCACTGAGGAACCTCCAAAACACGTACACTCTGGCTGCTCACGCTCCCCAGCCTGGGCAGGGATTAAGAGACCCACAACAGAGAGCTCCCATCTTCTAGTCCCGGGGATATGATGAGGCAAACGCGAAGGTTGCACTCATCCTGGGATTGAGCCCAGCTGGTAAGACTGAACTGAAGCGAGGATGACACCAGAGTGCAGTCTGGGAAGGCAGCAGTCGACACATTCTGCCCTCTGCTATTGATTTCTGCTGAGTCCCGTCCCTTCTTAGCAGATACAGTTCAGCACCGTGAGGCCCCTTCTACCTCATTTTCATTTTCTCTGCTGCATTTCTTTCCCCCGTTTTCTCTTTGGGCAGAGCCAGGAAACCCGGTAGAGGGGGGAAAAGAGATGGAAGGGGGCTGAAGATCACCTCGAGATGACACCTGTCCAGTTCTCTTTGTCCCCTTCCATTTTCCTGGACAGCTGAAGGAGATCCTGATGCCCTGGAATGTCCTACTTGAGTCCTCCTGCTATGTGGGTCCGTGACATAGTCATATATCGTTGAAAATTCCTTAGCACCAGATTCTGTGTGAGGAAGAAAATAAGGACTAGATCTTCAGAAACATGAGGAAAGTTTCTGGTGCAGGCTTCTACTTCACAAGTCACACTGTCACGCCTCTACTGAGGATGGTGAAGATCTTAACAGTGGCTCCAGAAAACTGGCAGGTTAGTGCTGTTACTAGGATGCCTAAAGAGCACAGTAGAGCAATTACCCCACCCTTGATAAACATCCCTCACCAAGCTGGGAAGTCACCAACCAAATGCAGCACTGAGGACCATGCTATAAATATCCTGAAGCCACCACAGCTAGCATGAACAGGAGGTAGCCCTCTGCCACCCATATTCACAAATATCCCAACATCTCTCCCGGGAAAGGAGGAGCTGTGTAGAGTATCACCCATGGACACAGGCTCAATCCACTGGACCTGATCCCTCATGCAACAGCACTCCATCAGGGGTCTTCCACTCACGTGACTTCTTTCTCTTCTTATCCCACACACAGAAGTAAGTGACGGCACCGAGGAGTAGCATGACTAGAATAACGATGATCAGCACAAGGGGCAGAAATCCGAATTCTGAGGGACACAGAAGGGAGGAGAACGGAGCCCTCATGTCCCCATATGTTAGCTTCAAGAACTATCCCCAAGCCCACTGTCCTCTCTCATGTGGCCAGGCTCCTCACATCCTCATATCCTATGAATGAATTCATCACCCTGTTGTCCCTCCTCAGCTGGGTGACAGACTGATCCAGAGGACCTGTGACACTTACTAACCTCTCTGAGGCAATTTTCTTACATGAAAAAAAGAACTTAATGTTTTCTCCTTCTAGGGACTAATTGCACGATCTGGTGCCTATAAAACAAAATCTTGCAAAGCAACTGTTACATCTATCTGCTGTTTTTAACTCAGCAAATATTCAGCCCACATCTACTTCTGTAAGCTTTCCATTCCTCCTTTCTGGTTCCTCTGCCTTCACTGCTCTCCCACATTAGAGCCCCTGCTTTGTGTCACACGTGGACCCTGTCATATAATCCAACCAGCAAGAAGAGAATGGTAAGGTATTCCATATTACAGGTGTCCACTAATGAGCTTTTCATAAGCATCTCACTTATCGTGACAGCAGTCCCGTGAGGCACAGCTCATCATCACACCCATTTACCCAACTGAAAAATGGAAACTAACAGAACTTAATCAGCATCTGCCTGAGATCACATTAAATAAATGATAAAGCAATGATGGTCTAGGCCCCCAAACCTCGTTTTTGTTTCTTTTCAACCTGTGAATAATTTAGTTTTGCTGCCCCGTTTTGCTGTAAGTTTCCTTTTCTCTTCTTCTTTCTTTTTTTAAAGGAAACATTCTTATATAACAGGGTGTGACAAGTTCAGGCTAGTACACAAAGGAGAGCTGGCTGTGAACAGATACTTTATATTTTATATAGGTTCTAACTATTACATTGTGTTTTTACCCAGGCTTTCATCTGTAAATCTCTTTTAAGGTCCCAGAAACTTTGAGCAGTTAAGCATGTTGTACAGAGACAGAAGCTGCATGTTTGGTTGCTTGAGGACATTCACGATGAAAAGATATTTTCAGTTATCTCAAGATAACTGTTCCAGGGCAGCTGTTAACCACAGTCACCCCAGCTGCCTGGCAGAACTGTGTTTGTCCTGATAAAAGGCGTAGGATTTAAGGGGAAGCTGTCAGCCAGGGCTATCTTCCCTAAACCTCTCAGCAGAGGCAGGTTCCTTTTGATGGGGAAAGAGAGCTGAATGAGCAGCCATAAGTGACCAATGTCATCTCTGTCTAACACTCTCTTCTGCCTAACAATATTTTTAAAGGTTTATCTATTTATTATGCATATAGTGTTCTGCCAGCAGGTATGGCTGCAGATCAGAAGAGGGCACTAGGTCTCATTATAGATGGTTGTGAGCCATCATGTGGTTGCTGGGAATTGAACTCAAGACCTATGGAAGAGAAGTCAATGCTCCTAAACATTGAGCCATCTCTCCAGCCTGCCTAACAGTATTTTTAAACAAACTTACTGGCAGAGAGATTCTTTATATAACACTAGTTTATGACTTCCATTTTCTCTTTCAGTATCTATTGTTCTGAGTTAGTCCAGTTCAGATCTGTAGTTCCAGAGAGGGATGCCTACCTCCAGATTCCTACTGGAAGGACTCTCTATTTCCTCAGTATCAATTGAGCATTTTGCTAGGGCTGCTTGCCTAGGACTTGGGAACTCTGTGATCACTTAGGATCTTCCACTGAAGTAAGGAGGCTCTGAGATGAGCCACTGGATGGAGTACTGGCACAGGACACTGGCATGGTGGAGCTGTACTTCCTTGGCAGCTCCACCCCTGGCAATGCCAGTCAGTGGTTCTTTTGCCTAACGTGGATGGCAGTAGACCTATATCCAGAGTCCAGGCCCGAATGTGGGACATAGGATACTTAAGTCTAGTCCTGTGGGAACCCAAGGGATGTTCTGGGGAAAGATTCTGAGGACCTATTCCTTCTGTGCTTTCAGTGTTCTCCTCCTCTGAGAAAAGAGATGTGCCTAACCCAAAGATAAGAAAATACGCTACGTGAACGTAAACTTAGCACTGTGGAAACCTGAGCCCAAAGTAAGGAGCTGTACATAATTTCTGCTGTGAATTTAAGAAGAGAGACTCCGAGGGTTGGGTTGGGTTGGGTTGGAATGGTTGGGTCAGGTTGGGGTGGGGTGGGGTCAGTGTTTGGGGTTAAGTTGGTTGGATTGGTTGGATTAAGTTGACTGGGTTAGGTTGGATTGCATTGGGTTGGCTTGTGTTGGGTGGTTTGGGTGGGCTTAATGGGTTGTATAGGATTGGATGGGTTCGGTTGGTTTGGGTGGGTTGTATAGGGCTAGGTGGGTTGGGAGGGATGTATAGGGCTGGGCGGGTTGGGTTGAATGGGTTGAGTTGGGTTTGAACTGAGTTGGTTTGCCTGGTGCCCATGCTGGCAACACATTAAGCCTTTGTCTAATAAAAAGTGATACAACCTTAACTCAGGTAACTCAGGATAAATGCAGAACTCTACTGAATTCCTCGTCATTTTCCTGCTGTCCCTCACTGACAAGGTTACTGTGGTACAGTGTTATAACCTCCCAGAAAACTCTCTAGCTTGAGGTAAGATACCACTCAGAAGAAATTGAGTCTCTAACCTCTCAAATTAGGAAGCTAATGTTCACAGTATCACAAAAGTCACTAAACAACTCGACATTCCCTATGAGGAGGGAAAACTATGCTACTGTTTCCAGTAGAAGAGAAAAATATAAATCCTCACAGGCTAAGACAGACAGACCTGTGCCTCTGAGAGGCCCAGTGCCTGCTGAGGAAGGGCCCAAGGCACTGGACCAGAAGGCCATGTGATCTGATGCCTGGGTCTCATATGAGTCTGGTTGTGGAGTTCCTGCTGTGAGCCAAAGGGCCCCACTTACTTTGAGGGACACTCTGACAGCCCTGGGTGATGTTCAGGGTGTCACTTTCCCAGCTGACTTTGTTGCTAACATTGCAGGTATACGTGTGCAGGCTGCTGGCCTCAGTCTGGTTCTCCAGGTAGGTAAAGTTCCTTTGTTCTGAGATCAGCTTGCTCCCTCTGTACAAAGCATAGCTCACATTGTCATCCTTGGGCACCAAGCAGTCCAGAAACAGTTGACACATCCCATCAGCCCAGGCTTTCCACTGGCCCTGCAGGTGAGGCTTCTCAACACGATCTGGAAGCAGAGATTCTGGTCAGAGGGTTCTGGAAATGCAAGTGCTACAAGAATCAAAGGAGCAGGGTGAGCCATGCTGAAAACTCACCAAATATAAGAATCTGGAATTTCTTACTGCAAATTTTTCCACTGTGATTGGTGATCTCCATCTCATAATGACCACTGTCTTGCAGCTTAGCTGACTTGATGCCAAGAGCAAAATCCGAGGCATTAAAATCATATGTCTTACTGAAGCCATTAGAAAATTCAGGTGGCTTTTTGTGATCACAAGTATAACGAATCAGTCTCTCGTAACTGTTTCCAGGTGAGCCCAGTTGTGTTTTCTTCCACTGAATAGAACGGATTTTTGTCTGTATATTGGAAGGCCGCAGCCAGAGAGGATTTCCTGAGATGCCAGCCACATCATCAGTAGAATCTGAGCAGCCTAGGAAAGAAAACCTTGTCTGAAGGTCACTAAACGAGTGAATATGATTATGAGACCTGAGCAGTGTGGGCAGTTGCCTGTAACTTCCTTAAGTTAAAGATCTGGGAGAAAATGGGGGGAGCCCAGAGCCCCATCTGTTTCTCCTTGTCCCCTAGTTGGGAGATCACAGACCAATATAACAACTAAAATCTCTTTTGAAGTTTCATTTTTATTTTTTTAAGTATGTATGTACACGTGTGTCTGTGTATGGGTTTGTGCACGTGAGGACAGTGCCCAGGAGGCCAGAAGAGGGCATTGGATCCCTCAGAGCTGGTGTTTACAGACAGCTGTGGGCTGTCCTGTGTGAATGCTAGGCACTGAACTCAGGTCCTCTGGAAGAGCAGCATACACTCTTGCCTGCTAAGAACTCTCCAGCCCATACTAGAATCTCATGAGTACTACATGACTGACAAGTCTCAAATGTGTTGCAAGTACTTCACAAAATCCTTGTGAAGGGTTTATTGTCATTTTTATAAGTAAATAATTAAATTATAAATACTTAAGCTGGGCATGGTAACACACACCTTTAACCCCAGCACTCAGGAGGGAGGCAGATGGATCTCTGAGTTTGAGACTAGCCTGGTCTACAAAGAATTCTGGACAGCCAGGAATGTCACACAGAGAAAACTTGTTTAAAAAACTTAAGTAGATAATCCCAACCACACAGAAAAAAAATGATGAACTTAAAAGCCAATTGATTTGGCCTTACTGAGAGATTTTTCGTTCAGTTTTTTTAAATATAATTTATTATGGAGTCTACGTGAGTATGTGTGTATGGGTGTGTACAATTGTGCACATGGAGACCAAAGGTGGATGTCAGGAGTCATTATCATTCTCCACATTATTTGTGTATGAGAGAGAGAGAGAGAGAGAGAGAGAGAGAGAGAGAGAGAGAGAGAGAGAGATTGTGTGTATGGGTGTGAAATGGGGCAGGCTGCACACTCAGGCTGTAGCACACATACGGAAGCCATAGGACAACTTTCTGGTTCTCTTCTTCCATATTTTGAGGCAGGGTTTCCCTTGACCTTTCTCCCACTCTATGTACTCCAGGCTAGCTAGCCTGTGAGCTTCGGGGCGAGCCTGTGAGCTTTCGGGTGATTGTCATGTCTCTGCCTCACATTTCACTGTAGTAGTGCTAGGATTACAAATGCTAGCTACCACACTTGTTTTTTTGTGTGTTCCAGGGATCAAACTCAGGTTGTTACGGTTGTGCAGCTAGTGCTGTTACCTACTAGGCCATATTTCTGGCCTTAGTTTTGGAAGCAGGGTCTCTCACCGAACCTGAAACTCACTGGTAAGGCTAGACTGGCTATTTTAATGAGTGTTGGGAATTTGAACTCAGGTCTTCTTGCTTTCGAAGCAAGTGCTGCTACTCACTAAGCCATCTCCCCAGCCCCTTGATTTTAGATTTTGAGACAAGATCTCACTATGTAGCCCAGGCTGGCCTGAACTCACTATCCTACTGAGTAGCTCGGATGACAGAAACTCCCCCATGCCCTGTTTCTAGAAGATAATTTTTAATCACAAGGTTATAAACACCACGTTACTGATGTGAGCCACTCCAATACAATTTTCCTATCAAGTCCCCTCACTCCACAAAACAGTTCATATGCTGTCCTCAGCTGGTGACATCATTGAGAGGTGGCTGGATCATGGGGCACTAACTTCATCAACAAGCTACACAAAGGTGGAGCTCAGTTAGTGGGTCATTAAGGACACATCTTCGAAAGCTACATCTTCCCCATTCCTGACACTCTCTGCTTTATCATACCCTCCCACTGTGATGCTCTGCCTCATCATAGTCCCATAGCAATGGAGCAAGCCAACCAGGAACTTAAAGCCTCTGAAATAAGCTTGGCAATACATCTCCATTGGTAGAGTGCTTACCTAGCATGCATGAGGCCCTGGATTCAATCCTCAGCACTGCTTAAAACCAGGAATGGTGGCATACAACTGTACTTTCAGCACTGATGAGCCAGAGGCAGAAGGATCAGAAATATAAGGTCACCCTCAGCTACATGGCAAATCAGAGGCCAGCCTGGGCTACATGAGACCTCATCTCAAAAGACAAGGGGAAATCAAATCTCTGAAATGAGTCAAATATAAATTCCTCCCCATTTAAAAAATTTTCCTCCAGGTATTTATCACAGGGACAAAACGTCTGACTCCTAACACACTAAGGCAAGCACATATGGCTAGCAGTGACTTCCAGAAATCCTGAATAGCCAGACCCAGTAAAACTGATGCTGAATTCATAACCCTTCTCGTGTCCTGCAATAGAGCTGTCTCAAAGCACTTGGCACATCGCACTGTGGACACTGCACATTAATGTTTGCCACTGTTTTAGTGACCAGATGATGTCTGCAAGAGTGCTCTCTAAATTTTGAAGCTCTGCCTTCCAGATACATGTCTGCATGTACCTCTCTTGGGATCAAGATGTGACTTAATTAATGCAGTTGCAGTAGATTATAATATCGTGGTACTTTAAGTGTCTACCTCAGAGCAGCCCAGAGCAGTGAGGGAAGTCATTTGGTAAGGGAGCTATGTGGTATCACCCAGCAGCTATAGGCAACAAATGACAGCCTTGAGTTAAAGAGCACAATGGGGGTGAAGGGGTCAGAGAATAAAGTGAGAGAGAGAGGTGGTTATACAAATGGTTCTTAATGTAGCACATTGAAAGGAAAGTAAGATAGAGGGAAACAAGATGTTAGCTAAGATCTTCCAGTATCTTCTCCCTGTGGTAATATATTATTTATGGTTCATTAAAGCTTGCCTAAGGATTCAGAAATCAAAGTCACCCACAAGCTATAGAAGCAAGACACTCATTTTTAATCCTAGGACTCAGGATTAAGATATAGACAAACCTACACAGATCTACACAGACTGAATCAGTCTATAAGAGAATTATATCTCACACCATTAATCCTAGCACTAGAGGGTATAAAACACAGGAGCAAGGAGTCAGTAAAAGGCATTCATTCTCCAGCCACACTGAGGAGAGCTCGTGGATCAGCCCTTTCAGCCTGAGGTAGAGGTAAGGGCTAGTGGCCAGCTGCTTTGCTTTTGAATCCCAATATCAGTCTCTGGGTCTTTTATTTATTCATGTTACTTCTCCCCACATCAAATTACCTTGATAAAACCTAAGAAAATCCAATGAGAAACCACAGTGCCCAATTATAATGAAACACAAAGACAGAAAGGAATGTCACATACACACACCCCAACTCCAACCAGTCCAATATAAAGAGTGTTGTCTCCAACTTGGGAGTGTGAATGGTTAAGTCAGGCCTTAGGCCTGAAACCTTGTATCAGGCCTGACACAGTGAAACTACAGAGTCCCACAACCCTCACCACCAAGTCGATATCCACAGACTGAGTTACCAGAACCACATGAGGCAAAGAGGCTGAGTGTTCCTCTCCTCTTGCAACATCAGGTAGCAGGGCAGGAAATGAGACACCAGTTGCTGAGGGAGGGGGTAGGCTTGTCTTAGCGCTCACTGACAGACCTAGTAGAAAGCAGCACATGCAGGGCAGACACACAAACCCTGCACAGATAAAGACCTAGGCACCAATGGACTAGATGAGCCTCTCAGCATACATCACCCTGGTGTGGACCGCATGGTGACCGTTGCTGCTTGCCAAAGCTCCAGCATTTTGATTTTACGGATCACAATTCTCTAGCACCCTTTTTTTCATTTTTAGTGGTTCTCACTCTGTGTTATGCGAGTTCCCTAATGCCTTTTCCTTTGGGGAATTTTGTGTGGGCTTTGAAGGCTGAAAATGTATAAAATGGCAGCCTCTTTAAACAAAATAATTCTTTGGAAAAAAATCCCCATCACCATGGAACCATATAGTGTGATAACTCTGACTACTCCCATACAAGTTAACACCAAGCTGCTAGAAAATTTAGGTAATACATACTTGATAAATACTGTATATTTGATAACCAAGATTTATAAATTCCTAAGATCTACTCTTGTTCACAGCAATGTTTGTCACAGTAGTTATTATTCACAGTAATATTCTATAACGGAGCATCTGACTCCCTGAGAAAGTCCTTCCCAAGGTCAGGCATTTAGACAAAAGCTCTATTCTCTCAGGGCTTGAAGAAAGTTCCTGCTTCCTAAAAAGGGACATTCTTATCGCTGGCAAGAGGAACTTGTGGCTCTTCTGTGAACACATGACTGCTGCTATTAACTTGTCAAGGTCAATGCTAGCTTCCTCAACCCTTGATCACAAGCCACACCCCAGATCACAGCCCCCTTTCCCCCATTTAATCCTTTGTGTGATTATAGAGTATAAAAGATGTATTCTTCTTTCAATAAATGGGCAACCATCCTGATTCACCCCCAGATCCTGTCAGTCTTCTTCCCCTCACGGACTCCACATCTCCTCTTTGGGACCTGAACCCCACTGGAGCTGGACTCCAGCCAGCATCATCCCCCGCTGTGGCATGTTCCTCATTCATCCATGAGAATGCAGGTCCTTGAGCCTCTGAAACTCAATCATGACCCCATTACCATCAACCTAGGTTGTCACAGACCACCTTCGCCAACACAACCTGACCTGGGGAAAAGGCTTCACCAAATTTTCATGGGCCCACGGCCTTGGTTCTTGACATGGCCGGCTCATGCCAAATACACATTCACTCAGATCTTCACTCACTCCCGAGACCCAACACTGCACAAACTGTGCATCCCAGCACTCTGGAGGTGGTAGCTGGAGGAGCAGGAGTTCAAGGTTACCATTAGTTACATAAGAAGTTTGAAGTCAATCTAAGACACGTGAGACCTTATCTCAAAAAAGAGAGAGAGAGAGAGAAGGAGAAGGAAGGAAGAGCATAAGAAGGAAACTTGTCTTATCTCTAAGGAATTGCACAAGCTGGAAATTAAGGGATAGAATAAAATTTTCCATGAAAATGGAATCAAAGAAAGAGTAGTCATACTTCTATCATAATACAGACTTTAAGTAGCTACCAAAAATATTCTATGACTGAATGTAACTAAGAGTGAAAGATCTCCATAATGAAATTGATAAAGTATAATAGAAGAAGCTAAAAAGGACAAAACAAAAGAAAAAAATCCCATGTTCTTGGGTTTGAAGAATCATTATTATCAAAATGACCCTACTTACTAAAACAATTAATATGAGCTACATTAAAACATCAATGACATTCTGCACAGAATTAGAAAGAAAAAATATGTGAATACATATGTTACCCACAGAGGCCAGAAGAGGGCATTGGATTTCTTGTATGTGCCCAGCATTTCTCTAGGACTGGGTTTCCTTATTCAGTCCCTAATATTCAGGGCCAACAATTCCTTCTTGGGTGTTGGGAAGAAGCCTGTGTTATGTGTCATTTAGCAGCATCCCTGGTCTCTGTCCACTAGATGCCAATGGTACCCTAGCCTCAGTCATGACAAGTATAAATGTCTTCAGACATTGGCCAAAAGTCCCCTGGGGGAAAACTGTTCCCATTGAGAAACACTATTCTGGGCATTGGAGTGTAATGTGAGCCAGAGAGGCAAGATCCCTTTTCCCACAAAGCCCACATTCCAGTTGGGGTGCACATTTTAAACAAGCAGAAAATTTAAAAAGATTTCTCAGAGAGGCCTAAGTGCTAGGGGGAGCAGCGTTTTAATTTAAAAGGTGGCACCAGAGAGCCTAGAGAAATATGGGATTTCTTTAGATTCCTGGCGAGAGAAGACCTCCCTAAGGGTCTAACATGTGCCTAACTGAGGAGTGAAAGATAAGGCCTATGATATAACAGTTCATCATCAAAATCAGCGAGTGCATGAACTTAATCAGGGCAGGAAACCGGAGGCAGAAGCTATTGGAAGGGCCATGGATGGGTGCTGCCTACTGGTTTGCTCCAAATGGTTTGCTCAGCCTGCTTTCTTGTAGAACCAAGGACCATCAGCCGGGGTGGCACCACCCACAATGGGTTGAGCCCTCCCCCATTGATTACTAATTAAGAAAATTCCCTAGGTTTGCATACAGCCTGATCTTATGGAAGCATTTTCTCAATTCAAGTCCCCCTCTTTCTGAGGACTCCTGCATATGTCAAGTTGACATAAAAGTAACCATTACAACTGACACCTTGTCAACTTGACACACAAGCATGTCACTTTTCAGTTAGAATCTTCCCTTTCCCATTTATCCCCAAGATGGCATGTTAACATCACAATATAAACATAATAACTTTAAAAGTCCCACAGTCCTTACAAAGTCAAATACATCCAAAGTTCAGTGTCTTTGAAATAACCAATCTCTGATCTCAACATAAATCCAGCCACACTGAAACTTTTAGAAGAGAAAGTGGGAGATACTCTTCAACGAGTTGGTACAGAAGACCACTTCCTAAACATAACACCAGTGGCACAGGCACTGAGATTGACAATTAACAAATGGGACCTTCTGAAACTAAAAAGCTTCTGTAAGGCAAAGGACACAGTCAAAAAGATAAAAAGGCAGGCCACAGAATGGGAAAAGATATTCACTAACCCCACATCTGACAGAGGGCTAATCTCCAAAATTTACAAAGAACTCAAGAAACAAGTCTCCAAAACACCAAAGGATCCAATTAAAAGGTGGGGTACAGAGCTAAATAGAGAATTCTCAATAGAGGAGGCTAAAATGGCCAAGAGACACTTAAGAAAGTGCTCAACATCCTTAGCCATCAGGGAAATGCAAATCAAAACAACTCTGAGATACCATCTTACTCCTGTCAGAATGGCTAAAATCAAAAACACCGAAGACAATTTATGCTGGAGAGGATGTGGAGAGAGAGGGACACTCCTCCACTGCTGGTGGGAGTGCTGACTCATACAGCCTCTTTGGAAATCAGTATGGAGATTCCTCAGGAAAATGGGAATTAATCTACCACAAGACCCAGCAATTCCACTCTTAGGCATATATCCAAATGAGGCAAGTTCATACAACAAGGGCATCTGCTCCACTATGTTCATAGCAGCATTATTTGTAATAGCCAGAACCTGGAAGCAACCTAGATGCCCCTCAACTGAAGAGTGGATAGAGAAAATGTGGTACATTTACACAATGGAGTATTACTCAGCAGAAAAAAACAATGGAATCTTGAAATTCGCAGGTAAATGGATAGCACTGGAAGAAACCATCCTGAGTGAGGTAACCCAGTCACAAAAAGACAAACATGGTATGTACTCACTCATATATGGATTTTAGACATGGATCAGGATAGTGCCAGTCTGCACTTCCACTGATAGAGAGTCTGGGAAACAGGAAAGAACCTAAAAGATATGCATATATGCATAGTACCCAAGAGAAGAGGATGGAGACAAGATCCTCTGAATGGATGGGGAACACGGCGAGGCGTGGGGGGGAGTGGGACCTGGGAAGAAGAGAGGGGGTGAAAAGGAAGAGAGTTGGTCATGGGGGAAAAGGAAGTTGAGGGGGTGGGGGTAGAATAGGGGGAAGAGGGAATCATAGGAACTAATACAGATCAGGCACCAGAGCGACCTCGAGTGATCTAAAGGGATAACACCAATTGGCAAGCTAAGCAATAGTGGAGAGACCACCTCGAATGCCCATTCCTAATAATGAACTTGATGTCTATAACCATCCGGGAGCCTTCATCCTGTGACTGATGGAAGCAGAGGCAAACACACAATTAATCACTGAACTGAACTCAAGGAACCCAGTGACAGAGAGAGAGGAGTGATGAGCAAATTGGCAAAGAATAGGCTGGCAAAACCAGCAGAGACAGCTGATCTGAACAGGGGAGAGCTCTTGGACCCCAGACCGATAGTGGGGAGGCCAGCATGGGACTGATCTGGACCCCCCAAATGTGAGTGTCAGCGAGAAGGCCTGGGCAACCTATGGGGCCCTGAGCTGTGGACCAGTGTCTATCCCTGGAATACAAACAGTCTTTGTGTGCCCATAGCACAAAGAGGGATGCTCTCTCAGCCTGGACTCTTAGGGGAGTGCCTGGACCCTGCCCTGAGTGAAATGACAGACTCTAGATATCCCCTATGTGGAAGGATTTGGCAATAGGGTGGGAGGGTGGGGGGGAAGGGGAGTGCGGGAGGACGGGAGGGAGAGGGAACTGGGATTGACATGTAAAACAAGCTATTTAAAATTAAAATAAAAAATGATAAAAAAATTTTAATCTCTTTTTAAAGTTCAGTCTTTAGGCTGTGAGCTCCTTGAAAAAAAATAAGTTAAATATGTTCTTCAAGAGTGAAGAACCAGGGCACAGTCACAATTTGAACAAAACAAAGCAAAACTCCAACAGTATAAATAACTCCATGTCCAGTTATCTGGGATTCACTCACGATCTTCTGGGCTCCTCCAAGGAGGTCTCTTCTCCAGCTCCGCTCTCTGCAACACACAGCTGTCTTCTAGTTCCAGGAGGCGCCACTCCACTGCTGCTGCCGTCGGTGTGGTCATCCCATGGTGCTGCCATCTCCAAGACTGCAAGGGTCTTCTGCGGCAACTTTCACCAATAGCCTCGCATGGACTCTCTTCAGGGACCCCAGCCCCGCCACACAGTGCCAAGCCTCGGGCGCTCTACATGAACCCCTTCATGCCTTCAAAAGCCAGTCCCAGCTGTGACTCCCACACTACCAAGTTTGGCTCCCAACACAAGGTACAACTTCAGCTGCTTCCTCCAGTACAGGTCAGGATACGAAGGTATGATGTTGGCCTAAGAAGAGCATGCCAGGGTTTTAGAAATGGCGGGAGCTGCCATTACAAGAAAACCTCGGGTCAGCCTAGTGGCTGGAGAAAGTACCGAAGAGGAGAAAACCTCGGGTCAGCCTAATGGCTGGAGAAAGTACGGAAGAGGAGAAAACCTCGGGTCAGCCTAATGGCTGGAGAAAGTACGGAAGAGGAGAAAACCTCGGGTCAGCCTAATGGCTGGAGAAAGTACGGAAGAGGAGAAAACCTCGGGTCAGCCTAATGGCTGGAGAAAGTACGGAAGAGGAGAAAACCTCGGGTCAGCCTCTGGCTGGAAGAGGGTGCCGCAGGCAAAGCAGCAGCATGAGCTGGGCTGCCAACAAGCTGATCTAGTAAGACTGTAGGAAAATCTCCTTCAACATGTTTGCAAAGCTGATCTAGTAAGACTGTAGGAAAACCTCCTTCAACATGTTTGCAAAGCTGATCTAGTAAGACTGTAGGAAAACCTCCTTCAACATGTTTGCAAAGCTGATCTAGTAAGACTGTAGGAAAACCTCCTTCAACATGTTTGCAAAGCTGATCTAGTAAGACTGTAGGAAAACCTCCTTCAACATGTTTGCAAAGCTGATCTAGTAAGACTGTAGGAAAACCTCCTTCAACATGTTTGCAAAGCTGATCTAGTAAGACTGTAGGAAAACCTCCTTCAACATGTTTGCAAAGCGGAGAGGTAGACAGAAGTTTAATTTTTAGGTGTTTCATAAAACTACTAGAGGTAGCACAAATATCTAAAGTTGTTTAGTCTGAAAATGTACAGAACAGTAAATAATAACAATAAGTAAACTACTGTGTAACCAACAGCAGACCAGAGCAGAGACCTACTCTGTTCTTCACTTCCACACAGTTAAATGTGGAGCATACCGAAAATGGAGTATACTTAACTACACTCTTAGTTACTAAAAATAAAGTGTGAGATCTATAGTCCTTATTAACTCTACACTGTATGCAGGCAATTACTAAATTATACCACTACATTTTATTTTTATGTAATACTGAATGGGATTAAATACCTAATATGAGCCGGGCATTGGTGGTGCACGCCTTTAATCCCAGCACTCAGGAGGAGGCAGAGGGAGGCGGATCTCTGTGAGTTTGAGGCCAGCCTGGTCTACAGAGCGAGTTCCAGGACAGCCTCCAAAACAATACAGAGAAACCCTGTCTTGGAAAAAAAAAACCTAATATGGAGGAGCTAAGGGGGTTAGCAAGATGGCTCAGTGGATAAAGGCAGGTACTTGCTGTCGAAGGTTACAACCTGAGTTCTATCTCCTGGACAGCGCAGAAGGAAAGAACCAACTCTCAAAAGTTGTCCTCTGACCTCCACTTGAGCATCATGGCTCAGGAACACACACACACACACACACACTAAATAAATAAATAAATAATTTTAAAAGATTTTTTGAAAGAGGAACGAGGGGCTGAGGATATAGCTCAGTTAGTAGCGTGTTTGTTACAAAGCCCTGGGTTGGACTCCAGCACTACATAGCCTGGCCGTGGTAGCACACACTAATAATGCCTGTACTTACGAGGTAAAGTCAGAAGGATAAAAAATTCAAGGTCACCTTCACATATATAGCAAGTTTGAAGTCAACCTGGACTAATGATACCCTGCCTAAGAACAGTGGGAAAGTCAGGCAGACCCACAGACATCCTTACAGTTGGGCTTTTCAAATGAGACAAAACTTGGCCAAGGTTTGAAAGCTAGTGCTGGCCAGAAACAGGACAATGGGAGCAACTACACTCTCTCTGGGTGACTGTTTGCAGGAGCAGATGAGGTAGGAGACCCTGGGAAAGAGTCCCTAGTCATAGCCATCAGCAGCTATGGTGTCGAACAGCAACCTTGAAAAGATGCTGACCGTTCAGAACCACCTTTGGGAAGATGACGACACTATAGACCAAAAAGAAGCAATAATTCCCAGAGGGAAGTGGGCACAAGTGCCTCCCTTAGCTAAGAAGTTATTCACAATTAGTAGCTTCCAGGAGAGGGAAAATCAGTTTTCTTCAACAAAGTGACACTGGATGTATCAGCCACTCTCCAGGGTAGGTCCTGTGCTCCAGTAGTTGATCAACAGTCTGTGCCGGTGTGTGTGTGTGTGTGTGTGTGTGTGTGTGTGTGTGTGTGTGTGGTGTTGTTTTCAAGAGAGAAAAACATGAAGTTGAGCAGGTAAATAGGCAGGTGAGGGTGAATCTGGGAGGAACTGGGAGGGAAGGAAGAATATGATGAAAATATATTGTACGGAATTCTCAAAGAATGAATTAAAATGTTTTTCAAAGAGGGGGGGAAGGAACTCCTAGGCCTTTAAGGGCTCAGCAGAGCTCAGAAGCTGGGAGTCTACATCTGTTCTTTGCTGGATTTTTCTCCCACGGGTCTCTGCGGTTTGCTCCACTCCTCTGGATCTTGGACACGTCTTCAAGGGACAGGAATGAGCAAGATCCCAAGGCTTGTGAGACAGGTCTCCAGGAGATGGTTAAGTGTGACAACTCCACTTTATTCCGGGAAGAAAGGGGAATATAAATGTTGGGTACAGTGACAGGGGGCATCACCTAATTTGCAATAAGAGGCATGCTCCTACCAAAAGGCCCTTAGCATGCACAGCAAGGGAGCCTTCCAGCAGGGTTCTGTCAGGGTCTGAGACAAAGATAAGTCAGGCATCTAGCCACAGAGACAGGCATCTGGTTTTGAGACAACTTTCAAATAAAGTCAGTCCTCTAGGCCCAGAACATTCTCCAGATAAGGGCAGGTAGAGAGCAGGAAGCACTGCTGGGAAGGAAGGGAGCCCATGTTGCCAAACTTAGAGAAAAAGCTGCTAGGCTCATGGCAGACTACAGCCTCTACCAACCAGCAATGTGTCCCCACAGGTCTCCGAAGTCCAGTGAAAGGAAAAAGGCAACTGAGTTGGTGTGGGCTTCCTAGAGGGGTCTAACAGCTGGGTAGATACAGTAGAAAGACAAGAACTGTGAGAGATGTAAGACCTTAGTCCCCACCCCAGGGAGATAGACCTTGGGGTGCGGGTGGGGGGGGTAGAAATGCTAATATGAAAAGATGATGAGGGAAAGAAAAGAATAACTTCACAAGTTATTATATGCTCAGAGTGAGACAAAGAGTGTACATGTGGCTGTCAGTTCAGAAGGGAGTGGCCACAGCCAATTCCGGTGGTCAGAGACTCCACAGCCACTGTTGTTGCTGCTGCCTACAGCCTTGGTGGCTCTTTTCCGGTGGTTAAGAGCGGATGAGGTAAAATATTAAGTCTGTAGAAGAAGGACAGGGGAAATTTAATGAACTCTACTGCAGCTTGGGGAAATGAGGAACTTCGGTGCAGCTTGGGGAAGTAAGCAGTGAGCAGAAAGAATGGTCAAGGACTCTCTGTGACTCAGCAAGGAGTCACCCACCACGCTGACACCCCACAGGGATCAGTCAGATCAGCTTTCTCCAACCTGGACTTACTGCCCACAGGGAGCTGGGGGGCCTGAGTCCCTGAGAGGGGCCCAGGGAAAAGCCTCTGATGGGGGGGTATGTTCCCACTAGCCAGCAAACGGATGTTGAGGTTTTCCTCCACTGGGCTTGCATTACCAGGCTTAGGGGAGAGACACAGATGAGGTCAAATGCTGGAGTGTGTACAGAGACCTATGACTTTCTGGCAGGGCCAGCAGCAGCCAAGACAAAATGATGAGTTTCGTTCAGAGGCCACAGTCTCCTTCCTTCTTCCTCTCCACTTCCCTCTATTCTGACTGACCACAGCCTCTCCTCAGGAAAGCTGATTCTTCCTTTCTGCCAAAAGTGGCCCAGCCTGTGTCTCTCTTCTATTCCCAGGTCACTGAAGCGTCTGTCTTTCTCCAAGACAACTACTATGTTATGCTTCTCCCTCAAACTCTGTGTGTTTCTTGCTTTTATTTCCTGGGGCAGGATTGGTCTGTCTTATCTCGTTTCTGAGCCCTTATCATTCCAAGCCAGTTCCCTGGTGACCCCCACCTGAAAAAATACATCATCTTCTCAGATTCCTTTAAACGTATCTTGACTTTTAGTACCAGGGCATCTTCTGCCTTCCCTTGTAGTTATTATTGTACACATCTATTTTCCTGTCTGAAAGATGCTCAAGGGTGAGCTCAGCATCAAGGATGGAGATGTAGCTTAATTAGTAGGGTCCTTGCCTCCCATGGCCAAAGCTCCGTATTTCAGGCCAACCTGGGATACATGAAATTTTATCTTTTTAAAAAAAAAAAATCAGTTTCAACTGTTTCCTTACAAAATTTGGGCTAATTCTCAGAACATGGTAAAGCCATAATGAATCTGTTTAATTAATTCAAGAATGCCTTTTGTTTAGCTCCCAAGGGTGGCTCTACTACAGAGATTTCATGCAAAATGTGAAAGAAGCTACAAAGACACAGGCCCCTTGGCTTTGGCATTTTGCTTTGTGGGCTCCACATCATTGTAATTTCATTTCCTGTTTACAGGTTCTCAAAAAAGAAAAGAAAAAGCCAGTTGCCCTGAAGCAACTTGAAATGTCATGTACTGCACGGCTCAAGCACTCCTGAAAGCACTTCAGCAGCACCTGCTATGAATATATACATTTAACCCCCATGACTTGACCCTGACAAGGTACCGTTACGTGTTTGGAACGGTTCATAGCATTTTTATAATAACATTTTAAAAATCCAAATGTTTATCCATAACAGAATGAACAAATTATGATATAAACATGAGATGAAATATTACATAGCCATGAAAGCAATAAGCTACAGGTAGTAACATAGTCAAGCCTCATAAAACATCAAGCTAAAGAAGCCAGGAGCCTGTACGATGGAATTCCACTTACATCCAGGCAAAACTCGCCTGTGAGATTAGAAGTTAGAATGGTGCTTGTATCTGTGGAAAAGACTAAGAAGGCAATGATTGGGGGTAGACAAATAATTGTTCCAAAGCTGTCCCAAAAGTAACTCACTGACATGCACATTTCTGTACATATGTCACAGTTTAATAAGAAGGGTTGGCTTGTAAATACATCATCTGGCTGCCCTTGGAGTGGGTTCTAGAGTCCCTTTGGGGTCCTGAGACAAACTCTCTCCCACACCCAGCTGCTTCCCCACTCATGCCTTGTTTGCGGGCTGTGATGTGCAGAAGTTGAGTGAAAATGACTCTGGCCTGCTAGAGCCTCCCTGGGGGCCCTGCTAGAGCAGTGAAGCTGGTACCAGTCCCTGAGGAATGCAAGGCCCAACACAATCTATGTGCCAACTGGGGAGACACTGCCCCAGCCTTTCTTCTATTATCTGCTAGAGCAGTGAAGCTGGTACCAGTCCCTGAGGAATGCAAGGCCCAACACAATCTATGTGCCAACTGGGGAGACACTGCCCCAGCCTTTCTTCTATTATCTGCTAGAGCAGTGAAGCTGGTACCAGTCCCTGAGGAATGCAAGGCCCAACACAATCTATGTGCCAACTGGGGAGACACTGCCCCAGCCTTTCTTCTATTATCTGCTATACTTCACCTAGACCCAAACATCCAGGCACTCACAATTCCCAGCCCATCCTTTTCTTCAGAATGGACGACCAAAAATCTGAATTCAGGAAGCAAATGAGCTTTAAGGGCCAGGTATACCCTCCCTGTTTTTATGTGTCTGACCCCAGTCATCATCCTAGCCCACATCCACGATTCCAGAACATAGTGAGCTTATTCACTCAACAAACATCTCGAATGCCTGCTCCATCAGGCATGGCCCTGTGCTGACGCCATGTAGGCCCCGCACACATATGTGCCAAGGGCTTATTCAAGCATGGTCCTTAATGTCCAGCACCGGGCTTAATACAGAGCTGCTCAAAACAGATTCAGGGAGCAGATAGAACAGAGAGGAGGGTGTGAGTAAGGAAATAAATAAGACTGACGGCCTACTTGTGCCAGAGGCCATTCTGGATGCCGAGGCTACAGCGATGAAGCAAAACAGATTTAACCCTTGGTCTCTAGGACCTCACACTCTAGTGGGCTGAATGAGACCCTGTGGGGCAGCAAACAATGTAAGTGAGCACCGTGATATGTGCAATGGAGATAGGAAATGAGCAGAGAGAAAGATCAGGAATTGCTGACACTCTCCGTGGGGAAGGCACCACTGGCAGGGTGGTGTTTGGGCAAACAGGAGAAAGGAGAAAGCCCGGGGCTGGTGATGAAGCCGCTCCCAGACAGAGAAAACTGTATGTGAAGTCCCAGCACTCACATCCCTCCGGCTTCCCACACTTCGCACAGAGGAAAAGCCATGCACTTTGGCCACCAGAACCTGGACCACCTCCTCCAGTCTCTCCTCTTGCTCCCTGCATTCCAGGTGACTATGTAGATGGCATAACCAGAGGCTCCGAGTTCTGATATCCCAGACACACACATGCACCTGTGAGTCCATGCCAGGCCCCACCCCACACCAACCAGGAATCCTTACCGTAACCCTGGTGACCCCTGAGGAGCAGGAAGAGGGCAAGCAGGGCAGCTTGCTCCAACATCCCCACTGAACAGAGCAGGCCAATGGGCCCCCTCTCCTCTTCGGGAGCTCAGACGTTAATAGACGCAGCTGCTCGGTCAGTAAGACTTGAGCACGGAGCAGAACTACCTCCGTGACTGTCCAGCCACAATTTCCTCAACTCAAGGCTGTTCACTTCTGCTGTGAGCTGACAAGGCCACTGAGAAAGCCCCAGTCCCTAGACTGGGTCTAACCGTTCCCACAAGCTAAGCTGCCACCAGTGGGCGGGTACTCAGAGTGCACAGTGACTCACAAAACCAACTGCAAAGCCTTAGCCCTTGGTCTGCCTCAAGCCTGCGCGCTTTAGCCTCAACCCTACTTGCAGTGTGGAGAGAGACAAGCAGCCATTATCCCAGACTGCCCCAAACCAACACACACTGTGGAAGCGGAAGTGGGAAGGAATTTGGACGACCTGGGTGGTCTGAGAAGAAGAACCCTGAGTAAGTGGTCGAAGGAGAGGAATGCATGGGGTAACTTAGGAAGAGACGAAGTTTAGAGTTGCTAGGATACCACATGTTCAGCATATGCAAACCGTGTCCCTCCTTTCACCTTTCTCCAGAAAGGATGTAACCCATTTGTGTCACCCACCCCATCCACAGCTGGATCCCATCCTGTGGAATACCAGGCAGCAAAGATCCCTGTGATCTCCAGGGATGGAGACAGTGGTACATCACCTCGCTAAGGACACTTTACTTCAAGGCCACAATCAAAGTCCATGCCTCTTTATTTCTTCCAATTTTCCCCTTAGCAACAGATACCTGAGGTTCCTTCCAAACACATCCTCTTTGTCTACCCTAAGATGTGTTTCTAGACTGACCAAAACTGAACAAGATGACATCCAGATCCCTGGCTGTCAATGGGGGCGGCACGGATGCTCTGAACAGGACAACCACTTTGGAGTCAAACACCTGGACTTGAAGTCCAGCTCATCAACTGTGTGATGCTGAGCAAATTACTTTCTGAGTCCTAAGATCAACAGTACTTGGGTGGGAGAGAGAGATGGCTCAGTAGGTTAAGGTACTTGTCCTCAAGCCTGATGACCTGAATGTGATCCCGAGAATCATGTGATGAAAAGAGAATTGACTCCACCTTGACCTCCACAAGTACCCAAAATGTGGGCGAGCATACCCATAAATAAATGTGTTGGTTTTCTTAACCATCAACAATGCTTGAATACTTGCATGCCCTTCAAGATAGTTTTCAGAATCAAATTAATAGCTATCCCTGAGAGTGTGTATATAAAACTCTGGTGCACACATTATATAAAAATGTGTAATAAGGGAGCTGGAGAGACGGCTCAGTGGTAAAGAGTACTGACTGCTAGACCTGAGTTCAATTCCAAGCAACCACACTGTGGCTCACAACCATCTCTAGTCCGGATCTGATGCCTTTTTCTGGAATCAAGACATACATGCAGATAGAGCACTCATACATAAAATAAATAAATCTTTTTAAAATGCCATAATAAAACCATTACTTTGTACATTAATCTTTCAAGTTAATAATAAATAAATATGAATGTTTGTGTCCCACCCTTCTAATCCATATCTTGAAATCTAATCAGCATATATTGTATTGGTATTGCATGTATGTATTGATATTAGAAAGTGGAATGTTAGGGGAAGTTATCACGTTTTGAGAACAGAGCTCTCATGAATGGAATTAAAGTTCTTATTTTAAAAGTGGGTCAGGGGACACCTCAGGCTCCAAGAACCTGCTTATCTCCCATTCTTCCTACCATGAGTGGACAAAAAAGTTAGCAGTCTCCATGCCCCTCAGAAATCCCACTTCCCAAGACACTTTGCAAACTTGGGAGCTGCAAGACTACGTTGAAGTTTGTTAATTCGGTAGAAAAACTCAAAGAATTCACTAAAAGCTCCTTTTAGCTGGTTCATAGCGCAAATAAAAATACAGACCCAAATGAAACAAGGGGAAGGAACATAGTGCGAGGTGCAGGGGAAGTTCTAAAGTGACAATGAACAGAGCTTCTGGTCCACAGACAAGTAAGCAAACAGAGTTTACCTCTCAAAACATGGTTACAGTACATTGTACATATGTGCAAAACTGTCCCCAAAATGATGTTAACTTCAACGCTGCCTTTTCAGTAACAGTATGTAATAACATAACTAAAGCTACTGATTTTTAAAATCACTAAACAACATAAAATAAATAAAATAAAATAAAAATTATTTTTTAAACAGAACTTACCTCTGAAAATTGTGTATGACAGTATGCATTGAGCAGTGCCACCAGGAAAGCTGTGTGTCTAGGCTCCTTGTTCTTAGTCACATACATCCAGGCTCATCATGCATACAGCTAACCTCATTCTCTGACCACTTCCGAGGTTGATCTGATGCTAAGTGGACCAAGTCCTCCGCAGTAAATCACTTTGCTGGCACAGACTATCTGTCATGGTCCAAGGTCGTGCTAAATGAAGACTCTCTTAGTCAGCCACATTTCAAGGCTTAGAAATTAGCTCCTGAAAGCCTGGGCCTTTCTTTGAGCAATGTTAATCCTTTTCTGTACATCTCAGAGAAAAAATTATTCAAGCAATTAAGGATGAGTCCTTCAAAAGGGACCCTCCTGCTTTTAGAGGTGACTTCAGCCAGTTTCTAAAGAATTAAACAAATAATTACTGTGTCACCAACACTAAGAGAAAACTCACTATCTTTATTTCTAGAAATATCCATATTGTCTATGTTCTGTCAAGATATCACAGTGGCAGGAGGTTCACAGGAATAAGCAATCCCACCACTGAACAGAAAACCGGAGAACTACTCAAAAGTCAGATCCATTCTGGTAACAGTTCAGAGGTCCCATGAGAAGAACTGTTTTTCCATTGTTGTTGTTTTCATTTTGTATTTTTGAGGCATTGTTTTATTCTATATATTCTGGAATTCATTATATAGTCCAGCTGGCATCAGTGATTCTATATAAGTGATTCTCCTGTCTCGGCTTCCCAAGTGCTGGGATTACAGGCATAAGCCACTACACCTGGTCACTGAGATGTGCTTTAATCCCTTCTATGTGGAGCTCCCCCACATAACTGAAGCACCTCCCACTAGACCCTTCCTTCTACCAACCCCATCACCTCTCGTTACACTGTGCTCCAGAAATATGAATATTTGGGGAACACATGCAAACCACACCCAAACCTCAGCGTCATGACTAAGATTTTAATAAGCAGTTGTTCCTTTTTAGTCGCGGTTTCTCAAGAGGACTGCAAAAGTGCTTCCGTGGACCAGGCTCTCTGCTGGAAAAGCCTCAGCACCCGTGAAGCTTAGAGTGTTTATTTATATAGAGTTGAATAGGGAGGTAGAGTTTTTGCATACAATTGACCAAGGGTTTTGAGTTATTACATACAGATAAAGAAAGAGGTAGGGTTATTATTTGCTGTGAACAAGGAGACAGGTTTTGTTAATCTCACTCAGAGCAGTCTGTGGGAGAGCAATCTTCAAGCTTTTACACGGGGGTGAGGCTGAAAGCTGCAGTAGACCATTCTGCACACTGTCAACATTCACACTCCGACCTGGGAAAGACTTTGCCATCCCTCTGAGCCTCACCTGGAGAAGACTTTGCCAGTTACATGGTGCTAAGACATTAGGATCCTTGACCCCGCTGTGCCCATGGCAATAATACACATTCACTCAGGACTTCATTAGATGCTTACAAATTAGCCCATTATTGTTTATTTCTTGCTGATGGTGACTTTCAACTTCAGGTTAAAAGTGAAGAGTGCAGCAGTCTCATAAGATGGCACTCTTCCAACAATACCGGGGCATCAATTAGCCTGGCCCACCTGCACCTGAGCCTATGAGGACGCACAAAGTGCTTTTCACAACATGGCTCATCTTGGAATTTTAACATGGGAAACTTGCTGCTACCAGCTTCAGCAATGAAACAGCCATGGAAACGCAGAACTGAGACTCCAACCCCCACACTAGCAACATGTAGGTAAAAATAGGATAAATAGCTACATGTTAGAATCACACAAAAGATGAATGAAAGACTTGTCCCAGATGTCAAGAAAGACATCAGTAAAGTGCCATGTACATAATTCAGTAGCTAGAGAGATGTCTCTTCAGGCAAAGACCCCTGCCTGGTGACCTGAGTTTGATTCCAGGAACTCCCAAGTTGTCATCTGACCTTCACTTGGTATGTGACAGTCACTTGCCTTGGTATGTATGTATACACACACACACACACACATATACACATACATATACACACATGCACACATATACACACGTACACACACATATACACATGTACACACACATACACATATATACACACACATATACATACACACATATGCACATGTACACACACATACACACACATAGACACACACACTAAACAAAAATGTGATTTTAAAATAAATTAAAGATAAATATAAATTTGTCTTATACATGTACTTGTACTATAATTTTTGAACTCCAATTTTATTTAGTAACAAGTTATATTCTGAATTTTTTATATACTGAGGTTTGACATATTAACATACCAAAATATTTTCAAACACATACAAATAACTTGTGGGCACCTTATTGCCTAACTTGTAAATTATAGCTAGTTTGAAAGTTCTAAGCATAGCAGGACAGACTGAAATTGTAATGATAAAGTAACTTGTACAAGCCCATGTTGCCTTTAGTTCTTTCCACTGTGTCTCTCCAGAACCCCTAAAAACACATACAAGTGACCAGTTCAGCAGCAGCAGCAGCTAAGAACCATTTAATTAAATTATTTTAATGGTGGGCATTCACAATTTGACCATAAATGAAATTGATTTTACATGACACAGCTACATTCTGGAAGATCTATTCTTTGGTGTTTTTGTTTCTCTGTCTTGTAGAATCTGGAACAGAAATGACACTTCCCTGACTCTGTGTGTTGCTAAGCATACACCCACACAGGATTAAGAGACTGTCTCTGGCTCCCTGCCCACTGAGTTCCTCCTTTTCTCCTCTGTCCTTACCTGTCTCCCACCTTCCCACACTATCATGAGCATGTCTCTGTTCTCTGGTGCATCTCGTCCTTCCAGCTGCCTCTGATCATGAGCCTGTGAGCTGTCTCCTTTCTCGGCTGGAGCGGTTGAGAACCGTTGCCTCCCATTGCTCCACTCTCTGCCAGTACTTCCTTCCTGCCTTCCCTTCAGTGGGCAGGGCAACAGCACATGCAGTTGGACAGCTGGACGGACTGTGCAAAAGAGCCTGGTGCACACAAGACAGTGCATGCCCTTCTCGCAGCCAGTGCCCTCAAAGTTTTGTTTCAGACTTATAAATCCTGATCAGAGATTTTTTTACTGTCACATGTTTGAATTCTGAGACTCCTCCCCAGCCTATATAAGCCCGACTTTTAAGTCTTAAGTCCTATTCCCTTCCCCAAATTTGTAAAACACCATCTCTACCTCTTGTATCTAAACCTTTCCTCCACTTTGTGTTCATTGGTACCTCCTTCTTTCTTGAATTTTCAAGATAATCTGAGCGGAGGTAGGGGGTGGACAACTCACTTTCTCATCCTCCTGCTCTACTCTACAATTCTAAAGCATTCCAGTTTCTTTAAACATATTTAGGATATTCGTTGTCAAGAGATTTATCCAGACTTACCTCTCTGAATCATCAAAGTTACATGGAGTTTACAGTGTAAATAAAGCAAAGGTATTCATAAAAGAGTCGGACGGTAGTTCTCCTCCTCCTCCTCCTCCTCCTCCTCTTCCTCCTCCTCCTCCTCCTTTTCTTAAGACAGGGTTTCTGTATGCAGTCTTGACTGTCCTAGAACTCAGTTCTATAAACCACACTGGCTCCAAACTCAGAGAGATCCACCTGCCTTTGCCTCTGTAGTGCTGGAATTAGAGGTGTGTGCTACCACCACTTGCCAGGTGATCTTGTTCATGGGGCTGGAGAGATGGCGCAGAGGTTAAGAGCACTGCCCGCTACTCTAGAAATCCTGAGTTCAATTCCCAGCAATCACACTGTGGCTCACAACTATCTATAATGAGATCCGGTGCCCCCTTCTGGCTTACAGGCATACATGCAGACAGAACACTATACATAATAAAGAAAGGAATCTTTTAAAAAGTA